AGCGCGCTACCGCTTGAGCCACACCCCCAGCCCGACAAAAATTCTTAAAAAGTGTTAGCAAATTGAATCAGCAACATATGATTCTCCTGAGTAGCTGGGACTATAGGTACATGGCATCACGCCCAGTTCCCAAACTGACGATATCCCAGGAATGCAAGGTTGATGTAAAAATTGAACAAAGCTGGACACAGTGGTGCATGCTTGTAATACCAGCAATTTAGGAGGATAAGAGAGGAGGATCATAAGATCCAGACCAGTGAAGTACCTGAACATAGGCCCCAAAGGCTAATTAACCCACCTGAATTAGTCACTAAGACCTCACACCCTTGGGCAACTGGTTGAGACCCTGTCTCAAAATAGAAAATAAAAAGGGTTGGGGATGTGACTTGGGAACAGAATGCCTCTGGATTCAATTCCCAGTTACACACAAAAAAAAATTGAACATAAATGTAATTACTAGGTTGATTCAATAAAAGAGAAGAAAGATGATCACCTGAAAGAATGCAGAAAAATGTTTTAATAGAATTAAATAACCAGCATGAACAAAAATTGAATATAAAGTATATTAGTTGGGCTGGGTATGATGGCACATGCCTATAATTCCAGCAGCTCGGGCGGCTGAGACAGGAGGATCATGAGTTCAAAGCCAGCCTCAGCAACAGTGAGATGCTAAGCAACTCAATGAGACCCTGTCTCAAAAAAAAAAATATTCAATCCTCAGTACCAATAAAATAAAATAAAATAATAAAGCATATTAGTTGGGCTACTCAGGAGTCCAAGACTGGAGGACCTCAAGTTTGAGGCCAGCCTCAGCAATATACTAAGACCCTAAAAGAGTTAGGGATGGACTGTGGTTGGGGCTCAGTAGTAGAACACTTGCCGGGCTCATGTGAGGCACTGGGTTGAATCCTCAGCACCACATAAAAATAACTAAAAGTCATTGTGTCCATCTACAACTAAAAAAAAAAAAAAAAGAGGGATGTAATTCAGTGATAAAGCACCCATGGATGGGTTCAATCTCCAGTACCAAAGATAAAGAAAAAAGGGAAGAAAATGTATCAGTGGTGGTGTGGCTCACGGGTAGAGAACTTGTCTAGTATGTGTGAGGCCCTGGGTTTCTTTCTCAGCATTAAAAAAAAAGTATTAGTATATAAGTTTCCTATTGCTGCTGTAATGTACTACCATAAATATGGGCATGGTGATACATGCCTGTTTTCCCAGTGACTTGGGAGGCTGAGGCAGGAAGATCTCAATTTTGAGGGCAGTCTCAACAATTTCCTGAAGCAACTTATTGAGACCCTGTCTCAAGATAATAAATAATGCCAAGTGTGGCAGCACATGCCTGTAATCCCAGCATCTTAGGAGGCTGCAGCAGAAAGATCACAATTTCAAAGCCATCCTCAGCATCTTAGAGAGGCCCTAAGCAACTTGGCAAGACCCTGTCTCAAAAAGTGGGGGGCGGGGGGCTGGGGATGTGGCTCAGGCGGTAGCGCGCTCGCCTGGCATGCGTGCGGCCCGGGTTCGATCCTCAGCACCACATACAAACAAAGATGTTGCCTGGAACTGACATCTATGGGAGAAAGCCATCTGA